TCTGCTGCTATGACTGTCTCCCTTGTGCAGAAGGAACCATCTCCACCATGGAAGGTGGGTGAGACCAGAGGAAAGGGATAGATTTTTGGGAAGACCAAATAGCCTGACCTTTTTGATGTAAGGGTATTTTGATAGGTATTTCTAACATTTGGCTCTTTTGTTCTTCGTTTCTTTCAATTATGTATAATTTGTTTCATAGTGAGTGTTAAGAAATAATCTTTTTATTCATTTATTAAATTTATATGCAGCCCAACTCCCCCATATCTTGGAGTTTAAATTGGGAGCAGGCTATTAAAACAAAGGGGATCAATGAGGCCTTGGTATTAGAACAGACATGAGATTTCTTGCTCTTCATCTTGAATGCTGAAGAACATCTGCCATTTGTTCTTGGTGTCTCTGGAGAAATAGAGAACTTATGATCCCTTCCCTTCCTTTCCCTTCCTTTCCCTTCCTTTCCCTTCCTTTCCCTTCCTTTCCTTTCCCTTCCCTTCCCTTCCCTTCCCATTGATCCACTAATACATGACCAAAAAGCTGGACTTCTTTGTTTAACAGGTCCAGCAGCAGGTCCCACACTGGACCCCTCCTTCCTTCCTTCCTTCCTTCCTTCCTTCCTTCCTTCCTTCCTTCGCCTGCCCTCCACTCTGGGCAGATTACATACATTGTGCATTCTCACTTATATGCAGAAAATTGCCTTATTTTCAAAGCCACAAACTCTTTTAAAATGGGGTGTGATTATCCAATGTGCTGTTCAGCAATCAACAATCATCTTGGCTGATTTACAGCCAAAGTTCTCAAGTGATCAGCAGGTGTATGACACATCTACTTTCTATCTTGTAAAAGCAAATATTTCTATTAAAATAGACAGTTTCTTTGCCCTGGCACTAACTGGATCTTATTCCTATGCCAGGTCACTCTGGCAAGTTAGGTGTCCCTCCTCCGCCCCTTCTCCTAGTATCTCTTATCTACATTTCCTTAAAATGTTGAAAGAAAAGGGGAACATTATCATAGGCATAACTCTATATGTAGCAAGTACAAACATTTCTTATAGTCCATTTTGCACAATCAACACTTTTATTTAATAGAACAGAAATCTTGCTTAATACAGCAAGCCAGAAAGGTTGAGATCAGAACAGAAACATCAGGGCAAAAACGTGCCTTTTCTGACTGAAAAGAAGTCACTAAAAAAAAGTGCCATGAAACTCTTCTAAATAAGTCACAATTTCTAGAAAGGCATTTCCTCACTGATAACAATGGTCAAAGTAGACATAAAAGAAACATTTTGCTTCAACAACTGATTTGCTTTTGATGAACTACTTCTTCGGAAAAGGCTCACAGTTTCAAAAGAGGCATTACCTTCTATTAGCATTTACTGAAAAGTACTATCCACCACTTTACATAATCCATGTCTCTACTTGTGCATGAATTTTTTGTTTTTGTTATGACATTTTTTAACTCATCCTTCCTCTAAGAAGCTTGGGATGGTGTGTATCTAATAATGTAGTTACTCACCTGTGTTCTGGAAAAGCACTGACCATTCTTCTGTGCTAATACTATTTTTGAATATTTTTAACAAGCTTACAATGCATGAAACAATATTATTTGTTTCAAAATTATATTGTATGTTTTTATAAAAAATTAAAGCCTGTATGATGCAGACTCTAGAAAGCTAGCCTTCAAGATGGAAATCCCAGATTCAAATCCCTGGTTCATTCTACAACTCACTAATGACATTATTACCACTACAATTCAACACATGACCTGTTAACATGCCAATCTTTGTGTTGTGCTTTAGATCTCTAGCCCAACCTATCCCATAAGCCTTAAATGTTTTTCTACTCTTTTAAATAAAAAGAGATGGGATCACAAATATAATATTGTATATTATTGTTTTTATTGTACCCCACTTAGAGTTGTTTTAGAGTTGGACAGGTTTATAAAGTTCAAATAAATAAATAAATACATCTGAAGACATGACTGTTACTAAAACTCTTATATGTGTGTGTGCACGCAAAGAGTACTATAGAAAGAAGTCCAAATGGGTCCTTTTGTGGAGTTCATTCTCCATCTTTCACTTGTGAGATAACTCAGAAACAAAATGAATCAGAAGTAATAAAACTCCTGTAGAAATGTCTACCAGCATAACTATTTCTCCTTTGTTCCAAATCCAGAGTCATTCTCTAATGCAAGGAACATTGTAATTAAAACAACCACCTTAAAATGAGCCATGATCTCACATCAGCTCCACTAAGAGGACAGGGGGTGGTTATACAGTGCCCACCCCTGGTCCATTCCAAAATAAAGATGTTGTTTTTTTGTAATCCCAGAAATCTTGCAGGATTTTATCAATATATTAGGAAGTGTTGGTGTCTCTCTTAGGTAATGCTCTCTAAAGTATACTTGGAGGGAATGGAATGGTCTGGATCATCTCACAACAATATGCAAAGATAGCAGAAAAGAACACCCCATCCCTGGAATAGAAGCACGAAGTCAAACCATTCATCAGTTTTGCTCAATATTGCCCATATTGACTGGCAGCAAAATTTCATACAGGAGTCTATACAACCTGTAGAGGTGCTACAGATTAAACCTGGATTTTTTACATATCAAATGCGTGTTTTATTATTTATGGTCCTTCCTTGCTAAGACACAAGACATGGAATACATTTGCTGGAATCAAGAGAATCTTTTGCCAAATTACAAACCTATCCATCTCCCCATTTCTCCAAACCCTACCATGATGGTGTGCTTTGGGAACCGGACATGGACAGCTTTCACAAATTCCACAAAGTGTTCTGAATAACCATTGGCCACATCCAGGCAGATGTATTTGATAAGGGGAATGGCCTCAATGATGTTTATCAGCTTCTCAAAGTCTGCCATCCCACTGCCTGAACTCACTGCTACATGCTGGAAAAAGAAGATGAGAACGATTAAGGCTTTTATAGAAATGAGATCAAAAGTATTCACATCGCATTGCTTTGCAGAAGCAGCCACCTGGGAAAATATCTAAGACAATTAAATATGTGACTTTTCAGGGGGGTTTTTTCTAGGAACACAGCAAAGTTGCAATACAGGATGAAGTTTTAATGTGTGTGAATAATGTACTCCACTGCAACTATTTACTTACTTATTTATTGCCATGCACACTGCATCTCTTTTGTGATCGAAACAGAATACAGCATTTAAGAACATCCTTGATATTTTTGGCAACCTACATTTTTCCTAAGTTGGATGAGTTCATACAATTTGTCAAGGAGAAAGTTCCATGTTTTAAATAGGAATATAAGAAGCAGCTTCATCCTGTATCAGGCCATTTGTTGCTTTATATAGCTGACAGCTGTCTGCATTGACTAGTAGTAGCTCTCCAGAATTTGAAACTGGGGTTCTCCTAACTCTATCTGGAAGAGACAGAGATTAAGCCTGGAACTTCCTGAATGGAAAGCAGAGCCCTTCCCTCAAGAGACTGGTGAGCATGCTATGAAGAGTAGCTACAGAATCTGGAAGGAAAATGTTTTGCAGTAAGGATTATTGCAATTTTGTAATTTTAATTGATTTTAATTGTTTTGTAAACTGCCCAGAGTCGCTCAACGAGATGGACGGTGACAAATTTGATACATAAATATAAAAATATGAAAATAAAGGATAGGGAGAAATGATTGTCCTTGGCTAGGATCTGGAGATTTTTCTCTTACACTGAGTTGCCCCTGGCTAGCCAAAACCCAATCAAGGAGTAGGAACTTAGCCTGTGCCAGGTACCTTTATATTCTCTGGAGTTCACTTCAACCTGCTGAGAATACCAGGAACATCTGGTTTTACAAAGTAATCAAGGTCAAATTGATACATAGCTCTCAGATATAATCAAGCTGTTCTCTGATTACATTCATTTCTGAAGATGCTAAATCTGCTCCATGGCGACATATCTCTTAGTTACACCCAACTTAAGTACTATAATGAGACTAGGGCACCAAGTATTTAGAAACTTCAACGGTCTGAAATGATTTGTTCATACTATTAATGAATATATGCAGCACGTGACTTCTATATGAAAACAACTCCTAGACTGTTTCTAGACAAAATTCAAAGAGCTACAAAATCTATAAAGCCCTTATATAACTTTTAAAGCTTACATGCTCCCAAATAAGCCATCTAGGCTTTTTATCCTCCCCCCACAACCCCCTGAAGACATTCATACCATCACATCTCAAGCTCTAACTACAATTTCATACATTCATATGCATACCCCTCCCCCCCAAAAAACAAGTAAATTTTAAAATAACAAGGAGTTTTCAAATTGAACACAGTGGGACAAAAGCTAGGGATTTGTGGTTTGGCCTGGAAATCTCCAAAAATTAATGAAAGCCTTCTGCTAATTTATCAATATTGTATCTTTAGGAACACTGAGGTTAGCAAGTCTATCAGTACAATCTTCTGTCTATTCTTTTAAAGTATTTGCTTCCTTGTCATTTAGAATATATCTGCATTATTATAAAAATTCTCATTTCTTTCAATGAAGTTTACAAAGCTCAAAATTGTGTTTGGGTTTTCTTTTACAGAACTGTTTTATATATTGTACAATGTTTTATTTCCTATTTGATCTCAATGTTTTTGTCTGAATAAAATATTGTGTTTGCTGCTGTTTTCACAGCTTACCACTGATGAATAAACCATTTTCTTACCTACTTTTGTCAGGCTACCTTTACTTTAATGTATTTCCTCTATACAGGGTTTTCTAAATTTGCAAACATATCATCAACTGATAACTTTAATAATTTAAACTTGGTTTTTATATTCCATTAACGTTTTGCTCTTCCATACTATTAAAGCTGAAACCCTAAATAGTCTTTATCAGAGTGAATTGATAAAGAAACATGAAAAAGATTGTACAACATAATAATATATCTATAAACTCAATCTATAAATAGATCAATAAATTTTGATATGCACATATCTTTCCAGTGTTCTATATTATTTCTAATTATATTATGTATTATACCCTTGATCTTCCAGGATGGGATAGCCACAATGGTGTGGAAATAAAAAATATAATAAATACCAACATGGTGCCTGAGCACCAATGTACCTACAAACACAATCCCTACTGCCCTCTAGACTCCTTGGTCAGCCCCATTTAGTTTATCTTTAAATATTATTTTAATTAAAAATAATTATCAGCAAGAAGTTGGCATCCTGTTAAACAAAGGGCTACCTTCTACCATCTAGTTTGCCAAGAATGCCTCAAGGCCTCACATAGGTTCCAAATACAGTATATTGTTTAGAAAATAAATAGGGGAAACAGCTCTAGTTCAATGCTTTGTTTGGAAGCACGTGAGCTGGTTGTGGTAGAGAGTATCCAGTTGTGCTAGATATGATGGTGAGGGTACCCTCACCAGTTTGTGTTCTGGTAAATGGATGTTTTGTGATTGGTAAGGATCACAACAGTCATTTTATTACTGGGCAGCCTCCCTGTATCCATAAATGCACCCCAATTTCCACAAGTGCCACTGCCCCAATAACACTGGGTCCCTCTAATATACACCATACATCCTATGGGTCTAGTATCTTTTGGAAACATTTTTACCTTTATAAAGCACTCTCTTGCAACAGTATAGGACACATCAGAGTCCTTCTTATATTTCAAGAAACACAATCTAATACTTAATCATTAACTTTGTGAAAAAGTACCTCTAGGCATTCTGGGTGATCACTTGCAAACAGCTTCCATTGTTCTAGAGAGTAATGCTTGTGTATTGCAGTAAACATTGTGTACTAGAAAAGCAAACAAACAAATACGGTATAATTATGCTGTTTGATGCAGCCACACACAAAAAAATAAAGATCCATGGCATCATTGTAATGTATGAAGGGTTCTTGTTTAAACAATAGGAAGGTATGATCTTCATACAGAAACAGAAAGCTATGCAGAGATCTTAGACCAGGGTTCCTCAACCTTGGCAGCTTTAAGACGGGTGGACTTCAACTCCCAGCTGG